TTGCAAATGCTCCCTGGCCAAACTGCGAACAATTTCCCTACATGGAGGGACATTTTTTTACAACCCCTGGGGATGCCGATGATTAGTGCAGTTGATTTGTAAACAAGACATTTATTTATCCCAATAAAGTTATGCAAAAAAATAATGTACTGTATGTACAAGACACTATTTCAATGACTTAACCTTGGCCTTTCCATTCAGGTTCTTTCCCACTCAGGCAATATATTTTGATAGAAAACATTGATTTGTCTTCTAAGGGCAACATATTTGCAACAAAGGTCTTGTTTTTTTATAGACAGGGATAAATTTTCCCCTCATGTGATGCCACCCCCCCTTGTGACACTCTGCAGCTCCTGATCAAACACCCTTCTATCCCCACAAGCATTATGTATTTTGGGAATGGCCCCATATCACATATGGAATAAATTTGTTTTCAGTTTACTAGCAATAGAGTATATGAGAATCGAAAATCATGGATTTGAAAGGAAGTAGTATTTTAATTAAAACATTGAGGTCAGGATATGTGGGTCAAGGAAGGTCATTGAAATTGACCTTCATTGGCGTGAATGACAATTGAATGGCTATTGTGCAAGTAAACAAAGAAATGCATGATAAGTATGTGTGCATATAGTAATACTTATATTAAAATGCATGAATATCTGTAATTTAAAGGCTAGCCTTAATTTTATCAGCATATGACCGGAAACAATAATATTGGTAAAAAAGTGACAGAACACCACAAAGTCATATTGAAAAACAAAAAAGGTACTCTCTCTAGTCAGGCCTCTAACACAAGTGAATAAAGTCATCAAGCCCCCTATCACTACCCCCCCCCCCTCCCCCAATTAACACAAAACCACTGCAATTGATTTTGATAAGATTGTTTTATTCTTACATAAGTTTTAGGCAGACCCTACCACGACGAGTAAAATTGTCTGGCATATTATTATAAAGTAAGTTATTCTGGGCAAAACACCTTTTCTCATTTTCTCAATACATTTTCTCATCCTGGTATTTTACTTTGTTTATTGCCAGACAATTTTACTTGTCAACAAAATATATTGGGCATATAAAATGAAATTTAATTGGCATATGAGTATCATGTTCAACTTGACTTTTCAGTTAGCTTGATACTGATAGTCGGGCACTATATATTTCACTAATAAAACTTAAATCTGGTATATGTCAAACCTTTGGTATTATAAATATTAATAATATTAAAGACAAATATATTTGTATTGATACTGCAATGTACTTTCTAAAAATAAATTCATGCAACGGTCCTTTCATTAGCAAGTGAAATGTTCTGTTCCATTAACCTTACCATTACTTCCAGTGTGTGGTTTTAAATGCTGTGTCGAGAAATGCTGGTTAATATTTATATTTTTGAACAAATCATTTCGGTCAACACAGTCTTTGTGTGGAAAAGGCAACAAATTATCAGTGCCAGTGGTGTCCTGGAAGGTTTATCAACGAGACAAAATACAAAATTTAAATATAATACGTGTTTTAAAAGCATTTCGTTACATTTTAATACAATAGTGAAGATTAATCCAATTCACGAAAATACACCGCCATGTTGATTTAATCACAGGCGGCCCAATCTCGCAAGGGTCAGTATAGACTTATAGTATAATGTATATTATATTAATGTATATTATAGTAAAAATATGTCGTAAAATATAAATTTTAAAATGAAATTGACTTGCCTATTTGATAGTGTGTGTTCTCCTTTTATTCCTCCTTTGTTGGACTAATATTTTCCGAGACTTTGTACTCGATGTTACTAGTATACATGAAACATGATAAAGGCTAACTATTCCCGATCGTCGATACGACGGCACGGCACTTCGAATCGAAAATTTTCACACTCAAATCGCTTTATTCTCCAAAACAATTCGCCAGCATGTACAACAAATGCCGTTCTTCGAAAATACGGAGGTACTTCGGCGAGATGTACAAGTTTTGGACCATATTTTAACAATGGAAATCAAAACCCATTTTATATTGAACTTGCCCAGGCCGAAAATTACTACGGCGAACGTCTGCGCAACCAGGCCTCCTTTACCGTTGGATTTACAGGGGGGGAAGCAGATATTTCCGGTAACAGCCAGCCAATCGCGGCCGCGATAGCGACTGTTTACATTATTTGAAATTTGATATTCAAAATAAAAACTCCTTCGATCGGATACTGTATAAAACTCGAGATGTTGTCGAAGAAAAGAAAACTAAACGACGGAGATTGAAGAAATTTAAGGAAGAAGTAATATACAGCGGCTCTTTGTTGGAAAGCATGGTAGAATATGATACTTTAATTCGAAATATTATCGTGAATATATTAGTGGCATCCTCCCCCCTGTAAATCCAACGGTAAAGAAGGCCTGGTTGCGCAGACGTTCGCCGTAGTAATTTTCGGCTGGGCAAGTTCAATATAAAATGGGTTTTGATTTCCATTGTTAAAATATGGTCCAAAACTTGTACATCTCGCCGAAGTACCTCCGTATTTTCCAAGAACGGCATTTGTTGTGCATGCTGGCGAATTGGTCTGGAGAATAAAGCGATTTGAGTGTGAAAATTTTCGATTCGAAGTGCCGTGCCTTCGTATCGACGATCCGGAATAGTTAGCCTTTATCATGTTTCATGTATACTAGTAACATCGAATACAAAGTCTCGGAAAATATTAGTCCAACAAAGGAGGAAGAAAAGGAGAACACACACTATCAAATATGCAAGTCAATTTCATTTTAAAATTTATATTTTACGACATATTTTTACTATAATATACATTAATATAATATAAATTTATACTATAAGTCTATACTGACTCTTGCGAGATTGGGCCGCCTGTGATTTAATATGCGAATTTTGCTAGGCCTTCCAGCGCGACCAGTGCTTCCATTCTCCAAATAAAAATTTCTCATTTTTGTCATCAAAATTTCTCTAAATTCCTTTGATTGTATACGTTATTTCCTTGAAAATTCCTTGAAATTTCATTAGGCGGTTTGCAGACCTTTGCAGTGCTTTTGTAGCAATACAAAAGATTTGATCAATTTTAAAGGCACAAAATAGCACAACTAACAAAAATAATTGCTAGCTAAAAAACCACAACCACAGGCTATTATACTGTTTAAAATTAAATATTTGTTATGTGTTTAAAACATAATTATACCTTTCCATTGATATAAATAATTAATTCACAGCGTTTGGCGCCAAACGATACCAAATCCTGTCGCTCAAAAACTTTCGGAAGTGTTCGGAAACACGTGGAAAAAGTTAAAAACAGATTTTTAATTGAACATAATTGATAATTTACTCAAAAATTCAAGAAATAGTGAAACATTCTTCTGCAATAATGCAATTGGATGAATATTTAAGTTGTTCGAAAAAGATTTAGTCAGATTTTGGTTAGATATTCTTAGATTTTTTCTCTTCCTCAGATTTTCCTTTTCGACACTAGAATTTCCTTAGAAAAGGAAATTTTCTTGAAAATGGAAGCACTGAGCGCGACCCAGTTTGGATATTTTCCGAAGCTGACAGCCCGCAAGTTCACGACAGCCTGTAACTCGCCCGCGCTTGGAAGGCCAGGGACTAGGCTGCATGCAAGTAGTATAGGGAAGAGGGGTTCTGGGACGGGTGGATCGGGTGGATCCACCCATGACGTCGTCACAGTATAATTTCATATCAATATGTTCAGTATTTTGTTCATTAACGTGGTATTTCATATTTAATCGAATAACAGTTGGCAACTGAGCAACTCTGGTTTAAACTTAATGTTGAGGGGAGGGAATAAACCTCATATGACGGTTTTTTATAACAGTTGTTAAAAATGGCCAGGAAGGCCTTTTTTTATGGCCTGATTGACCGATTCTCTAAGTACGTCTCCTATCCTCGAAGACCTCTTCCACCCTACTATAGCCGCCCTCCACCGTCATAAACTGTATACAATATAAAGGACAATAGACGTAGAGTGTGAAAAAGAGTATTTGAATTGAATTGAATTGAATTGAATTTATTAAAAACTTGAATGGCAGTTTACAAAGAAACTGAAGAACTCAAGTAACAGTACATTAAAATAAAATAGTTAGATTAGAATATATAAAAATATATGTACAATACAAATTTTATGCATTATTGTGTTAAGTTATTAAATTCGAATAATTCAAGGCAAGTCCCATTTCCGTACGCAGGTTGGTAAAAAACTGTCATAAAATCTACTTGTACGTGTTTTAAAAAGTGGAATGTTTCTAGCATTTCTAAGGTTATATGAATAAGATTTCTTTCTAGGTAAAAGGTCAGAAGTTTTACTTGAAGTACCAAAACTGTTCTCGTAAAACCGTTTGCACAAGGAAACCCTCCGATCAACAAGAATGGGCAGATTGAGTTCGTTCAAACCGTCTTTATACGATAAATCAGGGTAGATAATTTTCAGAGCCCGGCGTTGAATTTGTTCAATTTGGTCGCACAAAAATACAGGCAATGAAAAATGCCACACGGGGCAGGCATACTCTAGCACAGGTCGTATGAAGCTACAGTATACATTTCTAAGATCCCACACTTCAACGCCGTTTCGTTTCAATATTCGAATTGCAAATAGCCGTTTACTGGCTTTGGAACATATGTGGTTAATATGCGTCGTCCACTTTAAATCAGCAGACAAGTACACTCCCAGAAGCTTAACAGTGTGGACAACTTCGAGATGTTGATTGTCTATAGATAAAGCAGGGAACGAATGTGGGGCGCTAGACAGAGATATATTGAATTCTTTAGTTTTTGTGACATTCAATTTCATTACAAAATTTTGTTAGATTATCTTAGAGCACTAACACCGTCCTTGCATGTTTTTACACCACATGTGAGATTTGCTACACAAATTATTTGCTAATTTTATAATGTCCGTGAGCTAATGTATTAACACGGTCTTCTAAAATGAAACTTTTATCATTATATGGACTTAAAGCAATCTTATTTAATTTGATGGAGTAGATCTCATGACCGTGACTTCAAATCTGATTCATTGACGCTTTCGTCTGCTTCTTATTAAATAAGCAGGTTTTATAATCATCATGTCTTATCTTCTTATTTGTCACCGACTTCTTTACTCCTTTAGCTGTCTTCTTCTCCACCAGCTTGCTGTTCTCAGTGTATAGGATGGAGTACATCTTTGGCCCTAAAACAACAAATTCTTGAATTGGAATTCCATGCGTCTCAACTTTCATCTAACCGAGAAATTTCTTGCTTTTTTATATTGTACAAAGGATGTGTTGAATAGCTCTGTGTCTTCTAACATGTCTTGGTAGATGTCACGTGTCTTCACTTCATAACATAGACTATCCGTATCCGTGAAAAGCAGCTTAGCGTTATCACCGTACTCCTGTTTCATATGTTCGTAATGAAACTGATACATCAACACCTTTGAGAGATCCAGGATTGTAAATGCCACATAGAGTGGTCGATTAAAGTATAGCTTTGTTTTCTCCAAATTCACTGCAGCGAGGTCCTCAGAGAAAATACGGAAAGAGTCAAACGATGGACGAGCAGTTTCGTCAGCTTTGTCTTGTCGTTGATCAACTTGACATTGACTCGCTTTCTCAGATTCTCCATGGTCTCTCCAAACACAGCATTATTCATCAGCTTGTAGAAATCTTTCTCAAAGTCATTCGCGGCACACTTTCCTCTTTCTGTATTGAAATCTATATAGGCTTTGAGCCATGGAATTTGTTGAAACACCAAGACTCTATGTATTCTTGTCACCTCCATCCCTAATGCAAGATATAGAGGCAGAGTTTCTTCATCAGAATTTTCAAAACTATCCATGTAGTCATATGAATTTACACCTTTTCGCAGAAGTAGTGGTAGTTTATCTGCTTCAGTGTGTTTTTGGAGAGTTGGAAACATATCTACGCCACTTTTTGAAAGATTAGACACCAATCGCTCTAGAGATGCGTTCATAAATTGCGGTGAGTCAATGAAATTTAACTTGTCGATGTAAAAGAGATGTATTTTTCAGTGTTGTTGGGGATGCAGTTTATTTCTTTATTCTTTACCTTTTCTATAGCTTGCACGATCAGGTGAGAATCATAACCACGAAGATTGTGAAGGATGATAGGAATGCGTCCAGCAAAACTATAGTTTAGGTTGCATTCATTATGCGCGGCTCCACGATACTTTCCTGTGAGGTGGCAATGATCGCGAACCCGGTTTGCGCCCAATTCAAAACCACAGAAGAAACAATTCGCATGGGCTCGATGAAACTGACTTTCTCGTCAATGTATTGCTGTTCTGTCTCTAAGCACTCGAGAAATTTACCCATTGTGTCGTCCCCACGGTAAACGACAGGAGGTTTCTTGTATTTTTCTGCCTCTGATACAACAACATACGAAAATCCACAAAGTTGATGGTGCTGGTATTTTTCGGTAAACGATTTAGTTGGATTTGAGGAAACTGAATCGATCTTGACTGTGATGCTTTCAATATCAGCGTAAATAACAACTGGTGCCTTGAGTTGCTTATGATAATCTTTGAAATGGAGTGAAGTATTGTCTTCATTCGGTAATTCAATACGCTGGGCACCATGTCGACACCAGTGGGGATCATGCTCTTGCAGAAGGTCTTCTCGGATAAATCCATGTAGACAGTAACGACAGTAAAACATTCGACATTTACGTCCATTTTGATCATACAATAATTTACTTAAATTATATCTTTGATGAGACAGTAATGCCTGGTTGTTTCCTGAGAGGCTAGGATAACAATAGATTCGCGTGGGTATCAGGGTGTTCCTTTGTAATGTAAATGGGAGAGTACATCTTCGTAACCAATCAGTTCACCGAAATGTTATTTTAACGTTCAAATTTTCCAATCTTATTAATTGTCATAGGAAATTCAATATCCTCAAAGCTTAGTTCATCCTGAAACTCTTGATAATGATGTGTCCGTTCAGGATGAGAATGGAGAGGTACTTCATGGACACCGGCGAGAATAGACCACATAAAACACTTGTTGTCGGAATTCTTGCTATTGACGATTGCATTTTTATAGTCTTTTTATTTCTCAGTATATATTCACCAAACTACGACGTTTCTCTTATAGGAAGTATGTAATTAATTTAATTAATAAAAAATATCATAACTTTTCCAACCCGTGAAGAAAACTTGCCGTTTGCCGTCGGTTAAGATTCCGACCATCCATTTTACAAGGTATTTATCCTTATCAAAATGTTTAGACTTTCAAGCACAGTCTCAAGCCCCGTTTACACTATACCGGATTGCTATCGGAGTGGGTCAAATTTTGTAGGTTCGAAAGGCTGTGAAGATTTTTAATCTCAGAGACCCAAATAAACTTGCCAATTATGTCAAAGTAATAAGCATTTGCTACTAACCATTGCTCCGTAGCGGCAAAAGAAGATGTCGTGACCAGCGAATCCGGTATAGTGTAAACAGGGCCTCAAACTCACCTCTAGAATTTATTTCACAGCCTCAGAAAACTCTTCTGTGAGTTATTTGCAATCCTATTTCACAACAGAAATACGAAATTTTCGCAATCATTTCTCGACTTATATGCACCAAATTTGGTTCTTTTGCTTGTGGGACGTAGATAATGATTTTCCACGCATGCGCAGTAATGCAATTTACTTAAATAAAGAGCCGACCACTCTATTCAAATTTTAACAAGTTAGAAATTACAAAAGAAGAAAAGGAGGTATAAAAAATACGAAAATGTGTACATTTTTAAGACAAAACATGGCAACAAGTCTCGTAATCATCGACGCTTGCCTGTATACATAAATTAACACATGAATTAACGTGTTAAACAATTTGTTCATCTCAGTAAACTTATTTTACACAAATATAAAACAGTTGTTAACATATTGTTCATCTTTTACACTGTTGACACTGTTTTCTAGCTTCGATCGTTTTGACTTTGTAAACCTACCGCTAATAAGAGTTTTTGTCTGGCAAAGCCCTTGGGCCTTGGCAAGCTTGCCCTGACCTTAATTTAACTCGTTGTGTCGTTCTATACAGTCACATCGGCAATACCAACAATACTTTTAACTTTTCTCGTTTATTACTCGCTGGCAGCAACATGTACAGAGGCGGTTTTTTGTCCATGCACACAAATTTAAATGTTAACCACTTAGCATATTCTTTATTCGTTTCCCGCGAATTAGAAGTTTTTCGTACTACCACAATCTCGCCGTTCCCACAGCCCGATCGATTTGTACTACCACAGCCAAACACAGGACAGTTCCTATGCGTGCGACCCATATTTATTTGTTTGCTCAACGAATTCACGACAATATAAATGGCTCATTTTATTACGTCAGATATTTTGTTAGACCCGGTTTGGCCTGATGGCACTATATGGATAGATAGAGATAGATAGTTTTTATTAAAAAAACACTTTGCAGTTTACAGAACTGAATTGCGTGTTGCTAAAATTACAAAAAATTAGTGGTTAATACTATATATACATATGCATAGAAATGTCCAAAATTGTAGCTAAAATTTTGAATACAAGCTTGGATAAACGTATTTAAGAATCTATTTGTCTTAATCTTTGCAAGTTGGAAAACGCGGCGATTTCTGAGATTATGTTCCATGGAACATCGCTCTGGCAGAAGAGGTGAAAGCTTGTGCTGAGCATCGTTGGTGGCTTGGTGGAACAACTTTCGACAAGCGTCTTGACGACGATCCCTAAGGGAGGTAGGGCCGCTTTTCTGCAATCGTTCGTCGTAACTAAAGCCTGGCAAAATTATTGGTGTCGCTTTCCTCTGAACTCGCTCCAAGTGAGCGCTAAGGTAATCCGGTAACGCGAAGTGGAAAGCTTTGCAACCATACTCCAGAACAGGTCTTATACATGTGCTATAGAAACGAATTATGTCCTTGAATGGTACTTTTGCTCGTTTGAGTTGTATAATAAAGAAAATGCGTTTATTTGCCTTCTTTATGATTTCAGCAACATGCTTGTGTCATTTCAAATTATCGCTAATTGTTACATTTTGGCATGCGGTACTAGTTCGAGGTTTCCAGAAGCTGTATGCACACTTGGAAAGAGAGATCTCAGCTTCTTGAACTGGATCAATAGTTCCTTGCACTTCGAGACTTGGAGTTGGAATTTGTTCAGCGACGTCCAAGCCTCTAACTCGTCTACTCCTCGCTGAATTGCGCTGTTACTGTTCTTTGGTATTATTTCAGCAACCGTTGTATCATCTATGTATTTCCAATCTTGAAACTCATCGAGACTCAGATCATTTATCATTAAGATAAAGAGCCCAACTTTGTTCCTTGAGGAATACCGTAAGGAACGTTCCCCCATTTGGAGAAACAGTCTCCTGATAGCTTAACACGCTGTTCCCTAGATGTTAAAAAATCTATAAGACAAATTAAGACATGTTGTGGAATAGAGAGCTGTCGTAATTTGCCCACCAGAATCTTATGGTAGATTAAATCGACAGCTTTGCGGTAGTCAAACAGAAGAATACGTACGGACGCGCCAGTTCCATCGGTGACATGAGCCCAAGTATGCAGCATGTTAATAATGGCTTGAGTTGCTGACGATTTCGAGATTCCTCTAAATTGCGAGGGGTTTATTATTTCCAACACGGCCGGAGCAACGTATCTTTCGATTACAAAATCTTCAGCTAGCTTTGAGAGCATTGGAGTAGGTAAAATTGGGCGAAGATGCTTATTTATGTCTCGAATTGGTTTATCTTTCGGAATAGGTGTAACATTCGCCTTTTTCCAAGCGCTTGGTAGTTTTTGCTCATGGTAAGACGTGTTGAGCACCTCGGTGATCGAACTCGCTAGGATTTCTGTGTATTCTTTTAGGACCCAAGTTGGAATGCAGTCTAGACCACATGCTTTAGAGGGATATGGTCGGATTGCTGACCAGGCGTCCCAACTTAGTCAAGCCTGTGCTTGTCACTCGCGCTTTGAGTATTGTGATGTCAATACAAAAAACTGATTTACTTGCAAAAATTCGTTAAATATAGCACCACCCATCACATTTTTTCTCATTCTCAGTCAGAATGTGACATCTTTTAAAATCGTGGTCTTTACTTGGCAATATGCAAGCTCTGTCCCCCCCCCCCCGTGCTATTCTTGTTCGATCCAACTAGAGAAGAGTGGTCTTGGAAACTGATTGCAAAGGAGAATTCTCTTACAGTCATTCTACGTCAAGCGTTCCTCTTTTGAGTTCTTTTGACTTCATTTGAAATTTTCCTAATTACATTCGCAAATCTGGAATGAGATTTTCAAACACATTCACTGTCTATCATTTATAGCATGCTCCCAATCAGTCTATTCAATTCATTTAAAATTACTTCCAAATCTAAACGTATTAGATATGTCAAATAAAGACAG